GCACCAGATCTTGCGCGACTCCAGCGGGTCCCAGCCGAAGCGGTCGGACAGCTCGCGCCCGAGCTCCTTGGCCTCGGTGCGAATGCTGATTCCGCCGCTCTCGACCGCGTCGGCCAGGCCCTCGGGGAAGGGCTCGGCCGACACCCACAGCCGGTTGTGCTTGTTGGGCGACTTGGCGAGGCAGGCCTCGGGCGTCCGCTCGGTGACGGTCTCCCTGAACGAGGTCACCGGGTCCGACTGGTGGAATTCCACTCGCGACAGCTTGGCCAGGTCGTCGAGCACGATCTCCAGGTGGAGCTCGCCCGCCGCCGCCACGATCATCTCGCCCGTGGCCTCGTCGATGGAGCACTGGACGCACGGGTCCGTCTTGATCAGCTTGCGCAGGCCTTCCGCCAGCTTGGGCACGTCGGCGGCATTCTAGAATGGAACGCGCACATGAAATGTGAGCGATAAAAGAAGCAATTACGATAAATTAAATAAACAAATAAATAAATAAGAAATAAATGGGAGGAAGGCCAACCTTGGGCTGAACGGCCACGCGCACGACAGGGGAGACGCTGAACTTCATCATCCTGAAGTTGTGGGCCACCTCGCTGGTGGTCACGGTGCCGGACTTGATGAGGAACTGATCGAGACCGACCAGGCACACCGTGTTACCGGCGGGCACGCTGTCCATGTTCTCGAAGTAGCGGCCCATGGCTACGCACACCTTCTGGATGTTCTTCACATACAGATCCGACTGGACGACGCCACAGAGACATCGACAAAGCGTGAGACACGCGTAGGGGCTGTGGCGGGGAGAAAGGAGCGCACCTTCTGGCCGGGGATGTAGTCGGGGCCGAGAATGCGGACCTTCTGGCCGGTCCGGGCCGTGCCCGAGAACACACGGCCGAAGGCGTAGAACCGGCTTCCCTGGTCGGGCGACGGCACCAGCTTGGAGATGTAGACCATGAGAGGGCCTGCACACATCATCAACGACACCCATCATACATAGGTCAGTCAGCGAATGATGCACTTACACTTGGCCACGTGAAACAGAGAGTTTAAGGGTACCCTCAGGGTCGCATCTGCGAACGGCGTCGGCGCACTCGTCGTCCATGGGACCCTCGTAGAGGTTCTCCACGCGGTACCTCTGGGCCTGGACCGGCGAAGGCAGATGGCGCACCATCATCTCGAGCAGAGCCTGATGATCGATCAGAGAAGAACATGAGCCCAACACACATCAGTCTCCCGTTATTGCGACCCAACTTGGGCAAGGTGACGTACGGTGCCGAGAGGCAGGAACTTGGGCATGACGCACTTCATGAGGTCCTTGCCCTCGAGGGCCTTCTCCGCAGCCTTGAGCTCGATGCCCAGCTGTTGGATGTTCTTGTCGAGCAGCTCTCGCTTCTCGGGACCACCGAGGCAGCCCTTGATGATCCTGTAGATGGGTGCGAGCACGAACTGGCAGAAGCCACGCTTCAGCTTCTTGCCCGTCGTCGGCGAGATGTCGGTCTTGAGCCTGAGTCATCACAATCGCATGGTCAGTCACACTATGACGTTCCACTCTTATTGGGTTGCTACTACGCACCACTTCTTGACGTCGGGATCGTAGAAGTTGTCGCCCCACAGGCGTTTCTGTAGCTTCTCTGGCGCGACGCCGAGCTGTTTGCCCAATATTGTGGCAAAGGTCGTTAACGTGAAGCCCCTGTAAGGACAGAACACGACAAACGTGAGATGAAGGAGAAGAAGGAGTGTTGGGTGGTAAAGGTGGTGGAAGTGGGAGCGGTGGGAGTGTGACGTACCAGCCGTGGAGGCCTGAGGCAAAGGCCACGGTGCCCTGGTCGGGTTGTACGAAGGGCTCGCCCATCGCCCTCGTCCTTGTAGATCGAG